CTGCATTACAAGGCCCTTGGCCGAAATAAATAAGGGGAAGAAAAACTAAGGGGAAGCTTCCTACCACTTTCCTAAAATCAAGTGTATAATATCCATTTATTGATGCCTTTGGTTTGTCCTCATTGATCAGTGTTAAATGGTGAAAATGGGGTGTCTTTGGTGTGGGGATTTCGGCCATGTGAAGGATGAGGGAAGGGGGTGGTTTGGTTATGTGAAGGGTGAGGTGAGGGGCTGGATTTTTGGTCCACACATGAGGAATAATACATTAAGGATTATCCTTTATTCCTTTGGTTTTATTGTGGATTTGAAGGGTAATAAATGGGATATTTGGGGGGCTGAATTCGTCCATGGGTATGAAAGGGTGTGGGTTTGATGTATTATCACAACAGGACAAAAGACATGTTTTATTTCTTGTCCCCTGGTTTGTTCCTCTTGTAGTGGGGGATGTTTGTGATGGATGGGGACTGATTTTGAGGACAAATGGGGGCATATTTTCGTGACTTTGAAGTAGGAAGGGATGGGGAAGGTTCTTATTTGATGAAAGGAATATTTAGGGAATAAAACAACACTCACATTATTTTGGGTTGTACTTTTCCTTTTAATTTTGGCCAGGGCTTCAAAGAAGAGGAAAAGGGCTTTATTTGAGTAGTAAAAATACTTTGGATATGTGGGAGTGGGTTGGGTTTGTAGGCATTTCGGCCTAGGTTGGGTTTTGGGAGAGATAGGTCATGGTTTGGGTTTTGGTGTGGGATGGATCATTGAGTTCAACCCAAAATGGATCATAACACCTAGACATTAAACACTTGATTTCTTTTAATACTAGTGGCATGTGTGAAGGTTCATCCCGGGGTATATCAAAACCGTCCTTGATTAGGAATTCTCCATGTGGCCGAATAAGGCACTTGGAATAAGTGTCTTTGAAGTCTTCATCCTCTTTGTAAAGCCCCTGCAAAAACTCAAAGCCAACAAGTTTGGTACTAAGTACCGTTAGTAATAAGTGCCTCCGGGACAAGGCATCGGCTCCCTTGTTCATGGTTCCGTTTTTGTGCTTGATGGTGAAGGTGAAGGTTTGGATGTATTTGACCCATTTAGCATGACGGGGCCGGAGCTTATGCTGCCCTTGAATGTATTTCAACGCCTCATGATCGGAATGTAATATGAACTCCTTGCTCACGAGGTAATGACGCCAATGCTCAAGTGACCGCACCAGTGCATAGAACTCCTTGTCGTATGTGGAATACCTCCTTCTTGTGTCGTTTAGCTTTTCGCTAAAATACGACACCGGGTGTCCTTCTTGGGATAGGACAGCCCCGATCCCAACTCCCGAGGCATCACACTCGACCTCGAATAGTTTGTCAAAACTAGGAAGGGCTAACACGGGAGCATGTGTTAATTGCTCCTTGATTGTTTCAAAGGCCTGTTGGGCCTTGGAGTTCCACTCGAACTTCTGATTTTTCGTCAAGTCCGTGATAGGTGCCGTGATGGGGCTGAAATCTTTCACAAATCTCCGGTAGAAAAAGGCAAGACCATGAAAACTCCGAACTTGTTGCATAGTGGTGGGGGTCGGCCATTCTCTAATGGCTTGCGTCTTCTTTTCGTCCACCCGTATGCCTTCACTTGAGATAAAATATCCCAAGAACTCTGTTTCATATGCAAAGAATTGGCTCTTCTCGAGGTTGCCGTAGAGTTTCTCCTCGTCCAACTTCTTAATCACCAAAGTGAGGTGATTAGCATGTTCTTCCTCACTTTTGCTATAAATCAGAATGTCGTCAAAGTAGACAACGACAAAATGACCTATAAACGGCTTCAATACTTGATTCATAAGCCGCATGAACGTACTCGGGGCATTGGTTAATCCAAATGGCATAACCAACCATTCGTATAACCCAAACTTTGTCTTGAACGCTGTCTTCCACTCGTCTCCTTCAAAGATTCGAATTTGATGATATCCACTCTTAAGATCAATTTTTAAAAAGATCTTGGAGCCATGCAGCTCGTCCAACATGTCTTCTAAACGGGGAATCGGATATCGGTACTTGATTGTGATCTTGTTGAGAGACCGACTATCACAACACATATGCCACGTTCCATTCTTCTTGGGTACCAAAAGTGCAGGGACAGCACACGGGCTAAGGCTTTCTCTCACGAAGCCCTTAGCTAACAACCCATCAACTTGACGTTGAATTTCCTTTGTTTCTTTGGGGTTCATTCGGTATGCTGGTTTGTTGGGTAGGGCAGCCTCTGGAATGAGATCAATTTTGTGTTGGATGTCTCGTTTAGGAGGGAGACCGTGTAGGACATCATGAGGGAAAACATGGGCATATTCTAGGATGATAGGCTCAGCTAAGGGATGAGGCTGTTTTGGGTAGTTTGATGGTTTGGCTTCTCCATCTTCCAATAGGATCAAATCTTTAATCCCATTGAATTCATGTTGTTCCGCTTGAAGGATAGTGGAGATAAGAACGGGAGGTTGTTCCTTGTTTGGTTTGGCCGTGGGTGTGGGAGGAGGTAAAGGGGTAAGGGTGATCTTCTTCTTATTCATCAAAAATGAATAAGTATTGGCATAACCATCATGTTGCACACGGTGATCAAACAGCCATGGTCGTCCCAAGAGGATGTGGCAAGCATCCATCGGGATGATATCACACCATACATCGTCTTTGTACGAGCTGCCAATACTCAAGGAAATGAGACTTTGTGTATCAACACATAGACCCTTGCCATGATTCAACCATTGAATCGTATATGGTTTCGGGTGTGGTGACGTCTTCAAATGCAGCTTGTCTACCATGGTTTTGGAAGCCACATTGGTGCAACTCCCACTATCGATGATGAGGGAACACACCTTCTTTTGGACAGTGCAACGGGTGTGGAATATGTTTTCCCGTTGTGTTCCTCGG